CCTTCTGAGTAGACCCATACCGATGATTACCTTTTATTTTCCGGATCATATTGGTAGATCCATGTCTCGTCACCACTAACGATTTCTGAAACACTCCTAGATACCCCGTTTTCAAAACACGGACGCATTTCATGGCACCAATCCACAGGAGTCTGTTTTTCGCTTTCGGAGAGCAAACGGGGGATCCATCGACAACAAAGCTTTCTCACTCCAAGATGTTGATGTAGGATGGTATGAATGCTCCCCGAACTAATGCCTACAATCTTTTCGATGTCCGTATATGTGATTCGTGGGTCTTCTCGCACCAACATTTCAGTAGTCCATATATTTTCTGCCGTTGCTGATGTTTGCGGGGCCCAGTTCTTTGGTCATCTTTAAGATTAATTTTACCCCTTTTGAATTCAGCAAACCACCTAAAACTTGTTGCGCGTGATGGAGCTGAGTCGCGTAATGCTGATTGTAACAGTTGTAAACGTAATTGTTCGGTTAAAACAAATTTAAAATCATAATATATCATAGCGCGCAAATGTTCACGGTTAAGATCCATCGTTTTAAATGAAAAGCGCGGGAAGCGTTGCAGGAAAATTATAGAACTTTTTTTTTTAATATTGAGCAATTGGCTTATGGATTGAATTTCGAGCATCTCAAAACTTATTGAGTGTCATATGTATGTTTAGGTACGTGATGGTAAACAGATACATAAAAATCTACTTAATACAAAAAAGAATGTTAATTAAAAACAAACAACATAAAGCTTATCGATAACATCGATATTAAAAAGACACAACATTATCATTCAACACACGCTCGCCTCCATTCCAACGCCAATTAAAGATCACATACCACCAGCGCAGTCGAAATGCATTAAAGGATCGACAATCGACATCATTAAATCAAACGCTTGCCTCCAGCGTCCCTGCGGTATCGACTGATATCGGGAACTAATTCCAAGAACTGTCCTTTCCTTTTTTCTAAAATGTTTGAATAAGTGTACCAGGTTTTGTTTTAATAATTAAAAACTGACTGTAACCAGGGTTAACTATGACATATGGACGTTGAACGTTAGTTCAGTGTGTAGTACTTTAGTGAACATAAAAAAATCACAACTATTAGCACTTTAGAAAACATAACATAATGTTGATGCTGCACTACAAATACAGTATCATTATAAACAATCGTGTGCTTGACAATTTTTGAATAAATAGGGTCTGCGCTTTTATAGCTTATTTTTATATATACAATAAGGGTGTTAATCACGCAAACAGTCCACCTGATGATAAGTAGATACTGTGGCCCATAGACACATACATCTATCCTCAATTAAGAATCAAAATGCATATGCGTTTTCACCCCTGACTACTAAGATAGAATGCCTCATTTCTAGTAAACAAGGTCTTCGGCTGCTATTTTACGTTGGTTTTCTCTGGGAGCGTGGTCCTACCCATTCGCCCTAAAATCATAATATAACTGCAGGCATGGCTCTACCACGTACTATTTATGAGGGCTACACTGAAAGTTTTTAGAACTGGCCACTTGTGAACGATACAATAAAGAAATAAGTTCAAATTTTGAAAATGCAACTCTTTGACAATATTATTGTGAATGTATTTTATTAATTTGTCATTTGTTTACGATTTGGCGGCAAATTGAAAATTGTCTGTGTCACGTCAGCATGAATTTAACGCGAGAAAATTTTCGTACAATGATTTTTTATGACTTTCGATGTCATTTAAGTCAACAACAAAGTTATGATAGACTTCGATTTTTACCATGAAGCCCCATCTCGTGCTACTGTTTACAACTGGTTTAATGAGTTTAAACTTGGTCGCACTAATCTCACCGATGATCTGCGTGAGGGACGGCCTTTTACGGCGACGACTGAAGATAACATCAGTGTTGTGCGGCGTATGATAGAGACTGAGAAAAGAGTGACTTATCAGTAGATTCGGACAAGCTTAGGCATCGGTATGAGTCAAGTGCACACACTCCTCCATGAACATTTAGCGGTTAGGAAGCTTTCTGCCCGGTGGATTCCTCATAATTTGATAGAAGCCCAAAAACTCCGTCGTGTTGATTGGTGTCCTGAAATGGTTCAAAGATTTAACGGAGGTGACTCAAATGCTGTGTTCGATATACTTGCGGGTGATAAAAGTTGGATTTCTTGTTATGATCCTGAAATTAAGAGACAGTCTGCTGTCTGGGTGTTTCCTTCCGAGGAGTTACCAACTAAAGTGAAGAGAGGTCGAAGTGTGGGAAAAAAGATGGTGACCTCGTTCTTCGGAAGGACAAGTCATTCATTACGCAAAAATTGTTTTGCAGGATCGAAAAACAGTTACTGCAGAGTTGTACACTAACAATTGTTTGTTACTTGTCTTGGAAAAAATTCGGGAGAAACATCCTTGCATTAGGATCCTCCTTCACCAAGACAATGTCCCGTCGCACACCGCCAAGCAAACAATCGACTACTTGGCGACGTCAGACGTGAAACTGGGTCACTCGCCCTATAGCCCCGACCTTGCGATTTTTATTTATTTCCGAAAATACGAGTAAAAGAAAAACTTCAAGGAAAACGTTTTCTGTACGCCGAGAAAGCAGTAGCTGCGTTTCAAAATGCCGTCGAAGAGCCCCAAAGGACGAGTGGACAAAGTGATTTTCTCAGTGGTTCCATCGGATGCAGCGATGTATTGATGTAAATGGACACTATTTTGAAAAGATATACCTAATATAACTAATAACTTGTTAGTTTGTTCAGTTTTTGATTTTCTAAGAACTTCCAGTGTCAACCTAGTATGCATAAATTGCAGCTTTATATAACAATTTCCTGTATTTTATTCCAACATATTCAGAAACCCTACATGCGACATTGTTCTCTAACTTTACTCTTTCTTATAGTGATGCCAATTTAGAAGTTTCCCTTTCCACAAAAGAATCTTTTCGAAGAATAAAACTAAGCTTCAATTCAATTTACGGGTTAAAACAGTTCTTTAAGGGGATATGTTAGTGTTAGTACTGTATCTACAGTAGAATGGTTTCTATTTTTTAAACGAAATAAAATTAAAAATCACATGGTCTAAGCCACATAGCCGTTCTAACTCCCCTTGAATTAAGCGACTACGCTAATCATACAAGGAAGCGAGCAACCTCGTTTCGATCCCAGCCTGTGATTACCATGTGATCAGCCAAAAGGAAAACGTCGAGAGAAAACATGCATGTCAGAGAAGTAAAAATATTTCATAAAGAAGGTCCCCGTGCCCATGGGTGCTGCAAACATCGGAAATATAAGATATGTTGGATAAAGTCCGTAAAAACCTAATTTCATACAGATTGGTAAGAGGAAATAAATAAATTTGTGTAGTGTTTTAAAGAAGTAGTGTGCTAGAATTTTTAATAAATGAGGATATTTTCATAATAAAAGTAAGTACGTAAGGTGAAAAAGAAGCCTACAAATAGATAGTTAATGCTGTAAGCCCAAAAATACCTACATTATTGCTCCATTAAGAATTGAAGTTCAGGTGCGGTGAATATAATCTATCATGATGAAATGCCTCGTTACCAGTAATACAGGTCCCTTGCTTGTGCGTCACTCATCACAAGAAACACTTTTTCTACACTCACCATATGAAACACAGCAGCATTAATCTGCTATTTCACGCTGGTTTACTGTGAAAGAGTGTGTGTGTGTGTGTGCACCCTGCACTCATAATACAGCTGCAGAGTGGTATTATTATTATAAAAATTCTAGTTTCAATGAATAGTATTTCCCAAACAGTAGTTTTAATAACTCTCGGTAAGCTAAATTCATAAACTAATTTTTCTTTAATGGAACCAAGCCGCAGTTGTTGGGCAATACAATCTTTACTAAAGTGGTTTTCATAGGGCGCTCAAAGGCGGTTGAGTTACGAGCCAATTAGTAGTGGCGGTCGCAGTAAAGCAGATTTTTTATCGTAGTGCCTTCAGGAGAGAGATTTTAGACGTCGCGTCGGGAAGGTTCAAGTTCCGGACCGAGATACATTCGAGTTTTGATACGGCATAGTTTTGCTAAATTAACTTTTTGCGACAAACGTAATATGCAGCTAATTAAATAGCTTCAGCACGGTTCATACAATACAGTATACGTAACAAGGAAGCAAATTACGGCTTAAAATCTTAAAAGGCTAGTATAAAGACAAAGTGAATTTAAAAAAAAGTTATAAACAACCGATTTCAACGGTTACAGCCTTTATACACGTCCCACTGGTAGGCACAGGCCTAGGCAGGTTTTAGGGCAAGGAAACGTGTCGGCGGACTTCACATGCCTTCGTAATATTAAGTTTTCTTATTTCTCAGACATGCAATGTTCCTCGCGATGTTTTCCTTAACCGGCGAGCACGTGGTAAATCAGCACTTAAAATTGCAATTAACAATACCTATCAATTAAAGGAATCTCAAAGTAATAAACTTATGTGATGTTTTACGTGAAGAGAAAGTAGAAGTAGGTAAATAACATAAGTATTTAACATTAAAATTCCCACAAACAAGACGACCCAAATCGCACAGTAAGACATAAAAAGCACTACGGTGAGACATAGGCACTTGCGAGATTATTTACGCTTGGATACCAACCTGGAGAATTTCGCGATTCAACGACATAATGAGGGATTTGAAGCGCTCGAGATCGTTACAAGAGATTCCCTTTCTGCTGCAGGTATCCAAAAAACAACTACAGCTAATGCTCGCAATTATTTTAATAAACAAATAATGTTATAAGCAAGGTAGACAATAGAAATATTTTAAATTAGGTATTAAACTTTAAGATAGGTATGATACACAATATTTATAATGTTGAGAAAAATTTGCATATAATTCCTATAAATCAAGTATGTTCGTTGAGACTTCAAAACTTGCTAAAAATAATTTATTTTAATAATAAATTAAGCTCACTTTCTTCATGCATCGGTAATTAAGCCCGTGTGGTAAAATTTTTACGTTTAAAAATAAAATTATGTGTATGTAACACTTACCCGGTTTTGTTAGTGGCGTTTTGAGATCGTTGTTTGTGAGTTGGGGATTCTCTTGCACCTTTGAACAAAATTAAAAGTGTTAATATAAACTCAAAGCATCTGACTTGACTTGGCAGCTGTCCGAATATCAGCTCGCTAACCGTTCACTGTTACAATCAAAATAATGCGGAATATGTATCCAAAAATATAGAAATTAAACATCGAACAGTTAAATTACTCTACATAATATAAGTTAAAACGAGAACAAAAAATGTAATGTATTTTTTATCTTTACGAAATCTATAATTTCGCAGATCTAGAACAATCCAAGTCCCTTCTTTCGCAAACAGAATATATATTGTGTATAATATTTGTTTATGTATTTCATTTAAATGAATTTAAAATGAACAGATTCAGCTTATTTTTAATAACTGCTCACCTTATTAGTATAGGGGTTGAAGATAAACTTGTTCTCAAGTTCCTTTCTCGGCGTTGCTGCTATCACTGACAGCGGGGTTGGCAGGGACTTCATTTCCTTAAGAAAAAAAAACAATATGAGAAAAATTAAGATTTATAAAAATGTCGTCTAATCGACGGCCAATATTCAAACTTATAAACCATATTTAGTGTTTATTCAAAAAATATATTACATTTTTTTTTTTACTTTGACTCCTATTTCGCGATATAATTATACCTAGAATATAATGTTATAATATAATATAATGACTACATATTTGTGCCATTTGCTGTATAGACTATCGGTCCGTGGGGTCCACGTGCGGTGAAGTTCCTAAAGGAACTCCGTCCGCGACTGGTCATTGCTGCTGGTGATAAGAGGGCTGGTTTTTTTCTCGCTCAAAGGCTAAGTATAGCCATTCAGCGGGGAAACGCAGCCAGCGTTCTTGGCACGATACCGCGGGGAGTAGGACTATATGATAATTAAGTTTCTAGTTTTTTTTTTTTAATTATTTATTATAGTTTTTAATATTGTACATTATGTTATGTAAATAAAAAAGCTTTACCTCAGCCTAGAATTACATTTCATATTTGGAGATACTGTTACTGCAACTTTTGTACCCCTTTTAAATATTAATTTTAGTTGCATTTGCATCGATCTGTCTGAGATTGTTAATCAGATGTAGATGAACCTCGCTTCAACAAGCGACGCCCAAAATTTTTAAAGGCTGATGAAGATGATGAAGCATCAGTATAATGAGATTAACATTAAAATAACGAAATACTCAATATCATATAATATGTCAAGTAAGCACCAGTGAAATATACATGAGAACATAAGTGCAAGGCATAACTAAAAATTATACTGTTTACTTAATTATAATCGTAATCGTTTCCTATCACGTACTTAAGTATTAATTATCTCTGTATCCGTCTTTTTTTATCGCCATTTAGTAAAGAGAGCAAATTTAAGCATTTCTTAAAATTACGTCGAAATATATGATTAAGGTCGATTCTGTTTTAAAAAATCTAGAAAAACAACGCCATTATAATCAATCCAATTGAAACAAACAACAAATCATTGCCTTTACGTATGTTACTTGTACCGTCTTGGGACAATAAGTAGTGAATTTGCAAATGGATACTTATTGCAAAAGTTACAATGGTTCTGTGCGTCGTCGTGGAATTATGTCTCCACGCTCGGGGTACGCTGGAACGGTTTATACTCGTAGCAATTACAGTCTTGTACTTACGAATGCGCCTCTTTACATTTAGCTCATTATTTTTAAGATCTATTTCGTAGTCAAAGTGCTTATTTCGAATAGAAATAAATTATATCAAAAATATAGTATTACCGTGTAGTGGCGATGTAAGTATGTCCACTACCCCACATCATCCCGTGGGTATCGTAAGAGGCAACAGAGGGAAACAAATCAGGAGATGGGCAGCTGCGTCTTCCTAATAACGACTAAAAATAACTACAAATTAAAACTGCTGTTTCCATCCCGCTTGTCAAGCGTGGCAAATATGGCAAATATCCCTCCTATGAGACAATCTATGGGGGAGATATTCAGCAGTGGACTCTAATACGCTATAACGATAGCGGTAGTGTCAACTATGTTACTTTTTACATATGGGGGAATATATTATATTTGTTTAAACGTCCACTTTATCTGCCTGCTCGCAGTTCGCTAAGCTAACTAGTGTCTGGAAGATGACGGCGTAAAGCCAATCTGAAAATACCGAACACTAATTCCACAGACCGGTAGCACTGTTACCACTGAGAGGGTACTTCCTAGCTTTGCGCTCAACAACACACTAGCGGGATAAGCTAAGTTGACATTATACTATCTTTAACGCTAATAGAAAACTATAAAATGAATGAAATAATTACGTGACATAACGTTGATATAAATCATTTAAATTTATTTTTATTATTTTCTAATAGCGTGAACTATTGTAAAAAGTCAACTAGGCTAAAACCACTGGTCTCCGTGGTGATTATGAACAGCATTTCTATCAAGAAATCTTTAAATATGTTGTTCTTATTTTTCATTGTTTTGCCCCGTAGTAGACACTACCGGTAGAAGAAGTGCAGGGCGTCTCCCCACTAGATGGAGTGACGATCTGTTAAGAGATGCAGGAAGTCGATGTATGCAGGTGGCTTAGGATCGTGCTTTGTGGCATTCCTTGGGCGAGGCCCATGTTCAGCAGTGGACTTGTTGTAATGATGATGATGATGATGAGACAGTAAAATATATAAGTGAACTTACCTTTAAAATACTTTCTATTGGCGGTTGACTGCTATCGATGGAACTCTGTAAAAAAGGAACGTTTGTATTCGGTAATTTAATATGCATCTAAATCTAACAATTTATGTACATTTTTCGGGTCGATTCTACGGTCGGATTTTATTGCATATAATTTTAGTTATTTTTTTTTTAATTTTCCTTTGAAATAAGAAATTATTAAATAATTAAGTGTCTCCAAACATTTACGCTACGCATGTTAAATCTATATTTGTTTCAGGTGAATATCCAGACGCTCAAAGTAAGACGAAAATCTCGCCATAGTGTCGTAAAGTGTAAATTTGCAGTCGCATGTTTTTTTTACCAGAGTTTATTATGCCTCCTTAGGCTGTGGAGCGATTAATTTTAAGGCCAGTTTATGCTCGGCTGTCGAATGATTTACTGCTAAAAGCGGTTTAAATATTGAATTGTTTGCGTCGCACTCGTCTCGTCCATCGAAAACGGCTTTGCTAACAAATGAGTAAATTTTATCTATACAGCTGTAAAATTAGCGGATGTATAGATTGTTAAGGAGTTTTTATGCAGGAAATATTTTTACTGCAAATATGGCTGCCAGCTTACAACAATATTAGCAGCAATGAATCAAAATATTATTATTGCCTCGCTTCACGGTACATAAAGAGCGCCTCTTTTGAAGTTTCAGAGAGCTTGTTATAGAACTTGCCATGTTGTTTAGACGTTTATAGTTCTCAATTGCTCTTATAATATGAAGCGTATTCAATCGACTGATAATGATCAAAGACAATATATAAAAAGTCTATTGCTTACTATTCACGGACATATAAATTACTAACCTGTGGTTGGAAGCCATTGGATATTCGGAGTGGGGGCGGTCGATGTACGGGCGCCCCCGTTGAGTTGAGGCTCTCGCTCTGTAACAAAATATACCCTATATTCAACTGCGTAGATGTACATAATACACTAATATTTTCAGGCGTTCACTTAAACAGTAAATTTGTATCAATAAAGAGACATAAACTCTTTATTAAGTGCACCAATCGTCATGATTGTCATAAAATAAACTTTCTCATCTCTCAAATCCACATGCAGTGCTTCTGTTGAATACTTTTCGCCTTTTTATTATTTTAAAAGTAGTTGTTTATATAGTGCAAGCTTAGTATCACTCCAATAAATGCTGATAGTATTGGCTACGTGTTCTTAATATAAGACTTAAAAGTTATTTCTTTCTCTAAAGGGCCGTTTTGTCAATCCTCTGTTAAAAGTTATTTGTAGAATAAAATACAACATAAACGAATTGAACATTACTGTTGTATGAATAAAATAGTTCTATTGATTCACTTTTATATTCAGTTTTATATTCAGGTTATCACTTTTTTATTTTTTTATTTATTTAAGAAATTTATGATTACAAAGGCTAATAATTTTAGTATACATAAACTCTTTTGAGTTTACCGTACACCATTCATGTGTTTACGTGTAATGACGTCTTTAAAGACTTAAGTAACTGATTGATTAGGTTAGATATTTAACATAGTTTAAATTCCATTTTCCCGAGTAGAATACCTACCTATCTTATCACTATTTTCAAAATGTTTGGTAAATTAATTTTCAGTTAATAACTTGTTTCAGTTCAATATTGTCGTAAATAGGTATAATTTTACAAAATGCAAATAGTTTACAGAAATCATCTTAATTCATTTTGAGATTATCTCAGTTAAGTTAAAGATTATCAGGGACTATTTTTTTTTAAATACATAGCTAGAGTTAATATATTCGATCAAGATATGTTTTATAAGCTTTCCCATAGTGTACTTGACAACCCATATTGTATCACATATTCAGTATCACAGATTTATAGAGTATTAGACAGGTTTTGTAAGTTATTTTGTGTTTGATCAAAGAAAACTTTGCTATTTTATTTATAATTATATTATCCCTCTTAATCTGTCATAAACACGATTAATTTGATCTTTCCAATTTAGTCGATGGTCAATAATTAGATCTAGTTACAATTTCTATGGCATCGCAATAACAGAGAGTCTAATCGTCAGTACTTTTTATATGAAGGTAGTGCTGTGTGTGCGGTATTAATTTAGGTATAAAAGAACTTCTGTTATGGCTAGTGCTAATATATTAGCTGCCAAAACTAAATTGATGTACGAGTATTATGCTGCCCTATCTATTATGCTGACTTATCTATTATGCTACCAATAAAATAACCTTTTACGTAAATTCAAAGAATTATGAAGTTATCTATATTTTATTGGAAGTAAAGACTTTTAAAAGAAAGAGGGCTTTTATTGTCTGTTTAAAAGCATCAATACATTCTACTACTTTGTCTAATTTAGCACTATGAAACTGCAAACAGTCACGCATTTCGTTTTTGATGGCTTTTTCAACTTCCTTAGTAATGTTGTTGCTCAGCAACTTCTTCGCGTTTATTATTTGGACAGATGTATCATCTTCTTCGACGTCTTGTTCAGGAATGATAAATAGATGAGTTTCGCCTCGGTGATTATTGCTGGTATTGGAGGCAAGTCCACTCCAGACTCGAGGCCGACTTCAGTGCAGAAATCTGCTATGCAGTTTAGACCACTGTCCTTGCTGCTAAGATGCACAATCCTCATTACAATCCAGGCATGGATTTCGTAACGGTTTTTTTACACACATTTTACTTTGAGATTGCCGGTACTTTTAAATAAGTATAAAGATTTTAAAAGAAGCGTGTGTTACGCACGATGGCTTGTCGACAACTGTGATAGATAATTATGTACATTGTGTGTTATTTGTGAAAATCATTTAATCAGATGATTTTATCAATATTATATCGTTGCAATAATTATAGCAACTTCATGACTATATCTTTTAATGTTCTAAAAAGTGCTTAAGTTGCAAAGTAATACTGTCCTCCAGACCAAATTTCGGTCACGGCGAAAAGTTTTAAGGGAGACTAGTCATCTGCACAGGACTTATTTATAACACCAGGGCGTGCGCAAACACAAGTACACTCTCTATTCTTTCATTCTAATAGACCGGAAAGAGATCAGACGCAGGACCAAGGACTTTAAGTGTTTCCGAGGCACGGGATTCAACCACCGTCAAGTTTTCGACTCCAGACCGTTAATGTGAGTTTTTTTAACAAGAAAACACAATAATTGATTTTAGTTTTTATGATATGAGATATCAAAGTATGTATATTATCAATAAAGACTGAGAAAAACTACACAACCTATAGTTTTTACATTTGTTTAGTTCGACCGACATTATATGAGAAGGTATGATAGGATATTGCTGATATTGAAACACACACTTCGGCTTCACTCCGAGCTATTTTATTAAACAAGTTTGCATATATGATGCCGGCAGTAAATCCACCGAAATGTGTCGAATGTGGGGTTGTAGAAAATACAATTCATATTACGATACAATATTTACTAAAAGAAACCTATAGTTAAAAAAATATATTTTTTTCAACTTTACAACTACTTTCTACTACCGAAAATACTAGGTCATTGTCATGAAATTATTGTATTGCCATCGGTTCTTAATACGTCTGAAATATTTTAGATTATTCAGATGTCCGGAAGTAAGTGAGAACTGAGTTACAAAATTCTAATACATTCATAAATAGAAACAAACATTCATGCAGGCCAAACTAATAAAGGGTGTTAAGTAAGCCAAACACCGTGATATTTTTGGCAAACATTTTATACATAGGATAAAAAGTTACAGTATGACTATTTTTGGAACTCAAGCGAAGAAAAGTATTTAATAATGTAAACAAGAACATTTCTGTAAAGCCTCATCTCCACTAAATAACCTTTATTTACAGAAGTTTTATTGAGAACATTTAAATGTGTTTAAATTCATCGTCACTTCTTTATCGTCGTGTGGCTTGCAAATATGTATTTAAAGTGTGGAATTTAATTACCTTTTCAATAATATTCGCGTTGTAGAGATTTTATTGATAAATTTGTAGGACAAAATAATTAATTTACAGAAATAAATTAAGTAAGGTCAGGCCTCTGTCACTCTTGTTGCCTGCGTGAAATAAATGCAACAATCGCGGTGAACCTCAGGTTGTTGGTTAGTCAGGGCTAGCGCGCTTAGGGGCTTAGGCGAGCGACGTGCTAGTGAATTTCAAACTTTTTAACACTGTTTATAATTTATATAAATAGATTTAATACAAATATTTGTATAAATATTTTTGTTTATTGTTTAATATATTCAGTTGTAGGATAAAATAGCTGTGTAAATTTTAGTATAATTTATATGTATATTATAAAAAATACCTTCATTATCAATTTTGAAAACGTAATTATTATAAAACCTGCAAATAACTTACTAAAATTATTAACGAATATGAATTTTATCATTCCATGTCAATGTTTTTCCTCCCAGTATTTACTTAAAATTATTAGTTAGATTTAGAGTTTTTTCCACTCCTAAATTTAATAACCGTTAGTTTAGAAACGGTAAAAAAATATAAAACACTATATTAAAGTAAAACAGTTGTAAGTTAAATAAATAATCAAAAGGTACTGTGGTATGTATACACATACTGTATATTTTACTCTTTGTTGAAAGCCCTTGGTAACCACGCGATTACGTCCGTTACGTAGGAAGAAGAAAAGAAATGCAAAACTATATACATATGGACATTCACGCGCAGCGATAAGTTTTAATTTAGCTTGCGTGCGGGAATTATCTAATTACTAATAATTATGTAGGCTATTAAAACGTCGGCAAGTAGTGAACATCAAAGGAGTGCAACTTCTGTACGAGACACAATTATTTATTCTGTGGTCCGGCCCGGAAAGTCCACACTATTACAGATTAAATAATGCAGTATGAAGTGTGGGCTATAAAGTGTCGGAAACATCACAAAAGGGCAAAAGAAATTTAGTCGTATATTTATTATAATAATATTAGTCGTGGAAATTTATAGTATACAATTATTGAAAGTTAATAACTTTACCTGCGTTTCATTGCTACTATCAATTTTAAGCTTAATCACATTTAAAATAATTAAGTGATACTGTGAAGCATGCAATACGATTGTATCACATTTTTAAATAGTATTGGCAAAGTTACATAAGAGTTTAAATATTTATTATGTCGATTGTAGAATTTCTAATAGGTAAAAAATTAAAAATACTCGAAGCTGTAGGACGTAAACGAAATAACGACTCACGCGATTCCCTTTTAAATGAACTAATAACTCCGTTAAGCAGCTTCAATTCTACAGTACCACTGCGTTAACAAAATATACACAATAAAAACAGAATGTCGGAAACGCGGCGTGTTTTGGAGGCGAACTCCTTCGGTAACAGTTTGAAAACTAAAAGTTGTGTAGCAAGCTCAGCGAGGCGACGGCTCACTTAAGCATAATTTAGCGGAAGCACGGCGATTTCATTATAAGTGATGGCTATACAAAGATGTAGTTAGCGAACTAACTGAAAAATTATAACTTTACGGGAACTGAAAGCGGTTTTGAAGTCGATTCCGAAGAAATCATATTCCCGATACGAATTGAATTAAATCAGACAGTAAAAAAAGAATTTAATATATAAGAGTAAATTAATTACAAACCGCTAAATACAAAACTCGATTTATTGCATTATACTTGGATAGGTGATGCACGTTCGCCTTATACATTAAACTCATTATTCTGAATATTTATTATACGTCATTGATGTATTTTTATGTGAACGTTGGCTTACTTGAAATGGCTATAGCGCTAGATGTTATGTAATTTTACTATCTTAAAACTTGAGTTGATAAATTTGAATTTGTTGTATGTTTGATTGGTGAATTTTGTATGCTGTATCAATTTTGTATTATTAATTGCTATATTTTATTACTTTCATTATTAAATTACACGAAAACTACTGAATAATAGGGCTTTTAAAACCAGAAAAGGGTGAAAAAACCTAGCCTTAATAACATAATATACAATAAATACTATTAAATACAAATAAGAACCTTGTTGTAGGGGTAGGGCGGTCGGTGGTGGGCACGGCCGTTCTGTGGAGCGTGCACCGGTTTTTTGAACTCGCTCTCCCGTCGGGACGTGTGACCTGGGGAAAAATAGGATTTGGTTAATATTTCGTCATGAGAAAATATAGAATCTAAATAAATACAAATTTTATTTATTCTGTCAAATAGGCTAGGCCCTATAAGAAACTTTGAACTATAGAATCTCATTTATTGTCCACTCGTTCTAACCTTGGGTAGATGATAGATATCTACTGTTTCGCTAATGCGTCAAGAATTAAAACTGACTTGAATAATTTTATAGACTGGAAAGATATACATATACTGAAGATTCTTAATCGTTTGTTGATGGTTTACAATTTTAAAATGGAGAAAAGAGAGAAGATATTATACAGGGTAATTTTTCCAAGAGTAGCCAAATTTTAAAATTAAGTTAGAATATAAGTACTATGATATACCGAACATTGCAGTTTTTGGTAATACGAGTAAATAAGGCTTCTACTTTTATTTGAAATTATCCCAAACTGAATGTGATTTATGGGCAACAACGTTATTGCCTACCGAACGACCCTTACGAATGTGTGCGTGCGCAGTAAAATCAGTTAAAATAATGCATTACCACGCATTTTGAATTTAAAAGATAAAAGGACAGAATGAGATTTTTTTCTTCACCATTTCCCTATATTACTTGTTCTGAACCTACTCTGCAAATTTGGTCGGTTATTGCAAAATAACCCTGTATATCTATTCTCTCTCAAAAAAAAAAATCGCTGCCTCAACGCTGGGATTTTCTCCTATATCTTGAATCTCCTGTTATGTACGCCTACATAAAACAAATTGCGTAAGGGCCAACATCTAGATCAGGATTTTTTTTCTATAAGCCATACAAATACTTTTCCGTGCGGGATTCCAACCCGTAGCCCTGAGAATTGCAACTCAATTCTAAGCCACAGCGCCATGGTGCCGTCAGAATAAATGTACACCAGAAGTAAACTAACAAGTATCTTCAGTGGTCATTAAACTCGTACTAATAAACAACACATATGCCCCACTGCTAAACATAAAGTTCCACTCTCAACTTTTCTTACGAATGATGAATGTGGAGCAGGAAGGTCTTGCCATAATCGTAGACTTCAGCGCAAAAAAATATTGTTAATTTCTCAGACGTGCAGACACGTTTCCTTATGTTATTTATTTCACTGCAAACACATGGTTTATTAGCGCTTAAAATTGGAAATTAACAGCGTGATTGACTCTTCATAACAGAAAGGCAGCACACAAACTTATTTGTCCTATAGAGGTATCTACCCGTTATATCCACGATAATTTTATACCGTATATAATGAGGCAAGCTGAGATTTTATAGATTAATAAGATTGAGATCCTCCAAGTTGCGGGCGGGCCAAGTCGCAAGATCATAAGGCACTTTAAGTCTCGTATAACTGTGCGGGGTGGTTTCGCCCGATACACCCCCACCTCCCTTATCCCTCGGGACACTCGTGAGGGGAACTTGAGGTAGGTGTTTAGTTGGTTTATGGAGATTGCGAACAGGACAAAGGAGTCGGGAGCTACCTACGATGTGACTAGATTGCGGCTGATCCGTATACACACTTCTGTTTTTAATAGCTTTTATAACTTTCAATGGTTACAGAATATTAGAAATATAACCAATCATATAGACAAAGTCTTCCTGGATACATGCCACAAATGTATTATGTTTGCTGCAGATGTATTAGTTACCATCATCATCATCCTTAGCCTTTTTAGGACGGGCCAAAGATCTGAGAAAGAAAAAGATTTATTGCATTGTCGATGCATTACCGTAATAAAAAGTTACCTTACAAGTAATGCCACCCAATTCTTATGTTTGCATTAGGTACGGTAAAACGGAAACCAAATTGCGTGAGCCTCGATTACGAATGCGTAGTTTAGTAGCGATACTAATAAGTCGGTTGCTTACGATTAGTAAGATCATAATTTTTTTTTAATTACAGCATACAGCATTAACAGCATACAGGAAATGATTACAGAACAATTTAAATTAAAAGTTCAACAAACCATACAATAATATACATCCCACGCCAGCCGTTAAGGTCTCCTCTAAAATCTAAGAGAGTTAAGTAGAAATTAATCCGCGCTGTTCCAGTTCGTGTCAGCAGATTTCGCATATCCTTTAAATATCTTATTCCTTACACATGCAGATCAGTAACTTGAAATTGATATTAACTACTCCAATGGTGCCGTCGGGGATCGAACCCAGGTTAGTCGCGTACTGTGAAACTTAGGGCGAGCCCTCAGCGAGCTCTACCGTACAGTACATTAATATTATATTTATCCGGTCCGACTTCGCACCGTTGATTTCTGTATCTTGACAACAGCGCCACCTACCGCGTCCAAATGTGATACTAAACCATCTAGGGACCCATTCCAACACTCACAAAATATTTCATCATAAGCCGTTTTTGAGTTTTAGCGAGACTAACCGACAGCAATTGATTTTAATATACGTATAGAGATTTTAATAAAACATATCATATACTGACCAAAAACCAGAAAGCTTTCTGTGTATTTTTAAATCTGGAATAGGGACAGAGAAGACATGGTTGTTTTATGGCAAACGTTGGCCGCGTTTGGATTGAGCAATTGGCTGATACAGACAATAAATTCTTTTTATAGAAACTAATGCTTGATGCTTGTGTTGGGATCAACGGGGCCACAGACTGGTTTGGCATCAATAAAGGTGTTAGACAGGGTTGTGTAACTTTTTGTCGCTGTTCAATCTGTTTATTATGGACAGTTGTTTGGAAACTCTGAAAGTCGAAGAATGTGGGTTGAGAACAGGTGACTTAACCGTCAAATGCCTTTTGTACGCCGACGATCAAATCATATTAATAAGGGTAATAAGAAGAAAAAGCAAGTGGATGAGTTTTTGTATTAAGAATGTGTATTTAAGGCGACACCGCGAAAAAACGCACCTCCTTTCATCGAATAGTATAGGAGTATGACACAACTAACGAAACTGGAATTTTGATATAAGTAAATTCATGTCTTTATCTTGAATTTGCTTGTTCAAAAACACGATTGTAAACTTTTGACTCGATCATAGTTAGTTGCGAAAACACCTCTAAAAAATCACTATAGTTGAAATTATAACGAAATTACTTAATCTTAATGCTTGGGAACCACTCAAATACATTCATAACATCAATATTCGAAATTTACTTGCTCATTATTTGGATTACTAAAATCAATAATTTTTTAAAAATATTTTAAGATTCTAAGCGATTTCTAAGCGGTCTGGATCGTCGCGGGCGCTACGCAATTTTAGACCTTATGACGGCGTATTTGAAGTTTTTATAGAAATTATGTTTCACTCGGGTCAGTCCCGCGATAGCCCACTTCAACGGTTTTCAATGTGTCACCTTAACAGGGATGGTAGACATTTCAAAGACATACAGGATTATTTTTCAAAGAGTATCCAAATTTTAACTTAAGTTGAAATATATAAATAATGACATACCGTTATTGCAGTTTTTGAAAATACGAGTAAATAAGGCTTTTACTTTTATTTAAATTTATCCCAAATTAAATGTGATTTATGGGCAACAACGTTTTTGCCTACCGATCGACACTTACGAAAGTGAGCGCGCGCAATAAAATCAGTTAAAATAATGCATTACCACGCATTTTGAATTTCAAGGTTAAAAAAGACAATGTTTGAGATTCTTTATAACTATTTTTTTTAAATTGACTCTGAATGATAGGGTTAGGTTAGGACGCCCTAGACCTAGACGAAAGTTTATCGACACGATTGGAGTACAAAAGTGCACGCAAAATGCAAAAATATTAAAGATGGACCAAGTTAAGAATACCATTAACCAAGCTATATATGAGTAACTATAACCCCTATAACTCCGTTATTAGGAAAATATTGATTAATTATTGATTGACAGTCATAAGATTCAATATATTAAGAACTACGATCATCTAAATGTAGATGTCTATGGGCCACAGCAACCACTTACCATCAGGTCGACTGTGAGCTCGTTTGTCACCCTATCCTATAAAAAAAAAACTATCTATGGGCCACAGCAACCACTTACCATCAGGTCGACTGTGAGCTCGTTTGTCACCCTATTCTATAAAAAAAAAACTATTTCCTTGCTTTAAATGGTTATTACAGATTTCCACGGAGTAAACTCAACAGTTTTTATTTTATCAGACGATAGATATACGTATATTTATAACTTGATAAACAGGCAATCGATTCACTTGATTGAAAGTGGATACCGACGCCTCAGACACGCAGTAAAAGGAAGCTAGTATTGCTTTCCATTAAAAAAAAAAAGAAAAAGAAAAACATGATTACTAGGAACGATAGCACTCGATTAATTAGACTAAAATGGTATAAATTACATTAACACTAACATAGTTATTATATTATAACAGATATGACAATGTTTTACTGCAAATGTAGAAAATACTAAAACTAGTCAATACTGATTATTGTCCTCCACAAATACTATTTTAAATAATTTTAGAGGACTTTACAAGTTAACGAAACATTTAAAATTTTCCAGACATGGCAATTCACAACTTCATTTGTGAAGGCGTGGATCAAATTCTGATTGTTATGAAATTTTAATAGATGAGGACTGATCTCCAGACTCCTACCACGGTTCATGGTAAAGCGTAATGTAGTTTGCTTAAAAAACTGATATTCAGTTTTGCACGCCTCATTACGCGAAGCGTTTTGTGTGTTTTACTCTCGACACGTCAAGTTCAAGCAATTTTGTGTTCTTAAAATGCCTCGATCATAATCATATTGCATTTATACTATAATATGAGTAGCCGTATAACAAGAAAAGATTAAATGATTTTTTAGAAAATATAAAATGGGTTAATTACCCACACACATTTAATCAAGTAGCAAAATGCTAATTTGCAAAAAAAACACGGTTTGACAAAAATATAACGTGGACGTCCGGATGTTGATTTTGTATGTGGTCACGATAACTTTCGAAAAATTGACGTATGGAGACCAGGTTTTTTATAAGCTTCAGAATTACATCAACTGGTTTCC